ATAAAATCACTAAGCAATTTGTTAAATTCTTTTTTCGATATCAAAATGTCAATTTTGTAATATCATCACGCTTGCTATTCTTTTACATCAAATTAACAAAACTATGTCGCGATCTGCTAATATATATGTATCATTTATCATTAATTATTTAAAGTGTTCATATTCAAATTCAATGCAAATAATACTTCTTTTTCATAAAATCCATCGGATAATCGATGGATATTTTATTGTTTTCATATTTCGAATATAACGAATAATACAAAGGAAGACGAATGCACAAATTTTTTAGTCACCTCTTTCTATAATATTTCATTGCTTCTATAATGCAATATATTACGCGCTCTGCATGTTATCTAGTCCATATATCACTCATCCAATTGTCATTTAACTCTTCGCTCGGTAGAACTTTTAACTTTCTTAAGGCTTCCAGATAAAATGTAAGTTCCGATGTAACTACGCCATGTTGCGGACCACCATTATTCACTATATTCATTTTAACCAGTTGTTCTCTAAGTTTCTCCTTAAATGATGAATTTACTGTACGATAAAGTGATTGTACTTCGACGGTAGGTAAAATTCCAGAAACAGCTTCGTGAAGTTTCATTAGATAACTGTGAATAAGAATATATTAAAAAATGAATATTAAAAATTATATTTATTTAATATTATCTAGAACATTTACCTAGAAATATTTCTAAAAGATTTTGATGGCACCGGAGGTCTTGCCGTCCATTTGGATATTTGACCGCCTAATAAGTTATCTACGATAGTGAGAATTTTTCCTTCAATTTCACGGATATGTGCGCGAATATCTCTTTCAACGTTATCTAATAAAGCTACTCCTCCACTTGTACCAGATGTACCAATGAGTCCTCGACTAGGATTTTGCTCCACAAGGGCTGAATATTAAAATATATAGAATAGAATTAAATCTTGACATTTGATACTTTTTACTAAACTTTATGTATTTTCAAATTATATTAAAAAATCAACATATTAAGCTTACCTTGAAAATGTATCTTAACAAAGGGCATAAACCACAATATAAGTTTAAGACTTCGCGCCGCCAATACGAGGATCGTGCTTGTAATGGTTTTTAAGCCTGCGACTTGCATTGCCCCTGCACCCAGAACTAGTTGGCAGCATCGAGAATTATAATGTCTTAATAATTCGGCTAACTGTCTTCCTATGGTTCCAGACAAGGCAACTAGTTCACTACCAGTCCTAAAAAGAAATCATACGTCATATTATATATAAAATGCATAAAAAAGATTTATAATTTTTCTTTACCTGCAGTACTCATATAGCATTTGTATAAGCATTAAAGCAGTCCCAACAACAGCAAATTTTTCATCGCCGACCATAATAAAATTCTCCACGCCTTTATTTTTTACATCATCTTCGGACGTAGGTATTTTAAGAGGAAAACACTTTTTCTCGTATACATATGTCACTAACGATTGAAACTCTGATGGTACATCAGCTTGTTTCCATCTTTCAGATTCCAATAGCAAAGTCAGTTTAGTTTTGCGTTCATTATGAAAACGCTGTATAAACTTACTTGCTTGCGCCTATAAAAAAACATCATAAATTATTAGAAATTATTAGAAAAGTGATTTTATCAGACAATAGAGAAGTAAATTTTAAATATAATTTGTACAAATAATTACTTTAAATGCCGATCGCAACGCAGTGCATTGCTTGCCGCAAAGTTTTTCGCAAGCATATGTAAATTCTTCAACCATATTGGCTAATTGACAAACTTGAGCGGTTGTTGCCTTTTCACTTAACCAAGAGCCCTTGTCATTCCATGTTTGACATTCTTTATCTTCTAATTTATTCTGCAAAACATCGGCAATTATTTTGTCCTTATCATTGTGGAATTTATCTTTTTCATTTGTCCCAGCTGAAAGCAAGTTTCCCATTCGCTCATGACAATAATCACATATAGAGGTAATCATATCACTAAGTTTAGTGATCACTCGCGAATGTTCTTCTCGAGTCAGTAATCGATCAGGTACTGATTCATCAAACGAGCCATCACACAAACATCCCGCTGATAAGTCGGCGGTGTCTCTCATTACATCATGAACTGCCTATAATAAAAATCTAATTATTACATAGAATTTTTCATATCTGGAGTAGAGAATAATTAAAAAAAAATAGCAATTATTACATAGCAATTATATAATCTAAAAATATTAACTAAAATGTATAAGAAAAGCTCGTCTTTATTAATAGTTAATTTTCTTTATTAATCTCTTAATTAATCTAAAAAATTTAATGTCAATTTTATAACAATAATTTAATGTTTTATCAAGATATAATATTAAATATTAAAAATTTAATATAATATAAAGCAGCAATAATAAAAAAATGAAAGTACGTACATACGGCTTTTTTAGATTGTTTACCTTAACTCGTAAAAGAAGAAATGTGAAAGACTGTATAGTATTATGAAGCAAAGTTAATCTTTCCGTCAATGAGAGGCCTCCAACTTCTAGAGCTGCTGCTTGCTGATCGCTGCAACAATCGCTTGCTGCCAGAGCCTCTATCACCCGTTGCTTTGTTAAAGCTCTTATAGTGGTCACAGCTTCCTCTTTGTATGTATCCACAAATTGAAAATGTTTTTGACGTAGTAGACCAGAAATAATAGAGACCAGTTTATCCTGTTTATTGAGGATGTACAAATGATCTCATTAGGAAAAGACGTATGTTTGTTTGCTATAAACTAGAATACAATACGATACAAAATGATACTTACGCCGTCTAGGACGGTATTCTCACCACTCAATGGCCTATTGAGATCTGCTGTTGCATATCTTTGAAACTCAGTCGACAACATCTTATCCACAAGCTTCTCCATCTCAGTTAGTTGAGAACTTAAATGTCTAAGTAAACGTACAATAATTACCCTAATTATTTATTATCTTTTTTTGATGCAAATAAATAATAAATTAAATAAATATTTTCTATTGAATTGCAACTTACCTAAAGCTATGTATTCCATTTAATTCTTGAAAGAGAATTTCTTGCGTCGTAGAAATAAGATCTAATGCCGCAACATAATCTGGCGTGGACAACAATAATTGTATCATAGGTTGGCTTTGATGTACGGTTGCCATAAGTTTTAATTTTTCTTGAACCAATAATCTATTAGATCTAGCACGCTCCAAGCTAAATAAGAAAAAAATATAGTATAATTAAATTTAAATATTCAAAATTAAATATTTTAGGGGAGAAAGGTCCTATTTGTTTGCACATAAATGATTGCCTAGTTTCATTTACCCATATCATAAAATCTCGATTACACAGCGATTACCTATAAATATTATTGGCGCACACGTTACTTTGCATATGATAGCATTGTATACATACATATTACACACACGATTTTATTGCACATATATAATTGAATTACCTGTAGTATATTGCACATGCAATTATAACTATATTATATAGCACAATGCACACATGATAATATTGCACAAATAAAAAAAACATACTAATGCATACTATAGCGTATATACAAAATCCACTCCTCATCACCTGATGCTTTCTGGTATAATTTATAATTATATAATTGCACAAGTTTTAAATTTTTCAGATACACTTTTCAGATCGTATACACTATACTATGTGTGCAATACGACTATGCGTGCAATATGATTATGTATGCAATATGCATATGTACAACAGTCATATATGCAAAATAATATATGCACAATGTTTATAGATAATTGTTCTGTGTACATTGATTTTGTGTAATGCAATGTGAACAAATGAAACTGCAGGCAATCGTTGTAGGTACAGAGCTCATTCGATATATGTATCGTTACACCTATCGGATTCAGAAGTCTTGAGTTATAAAATATTACGTTTATGATTGGTTATCACATTTGCAAGTAAATAAGAAAATACTTAATCAAGCCAAACGTTTAACTAGCATATTTTTAACAATTTGATAACAAAAATCAGTTGTTATTCTCAATTTATTGACACAGATGCGATATTATCAATCTTGTATTTTTGGCATAAGCTAAATGTGGCAATAGCATATTGTACATTAACATAAATATAAGATGTATTATTTATTAGGAGAAAGAAGGAGGGAAAGAAGGAGAGAAAGAAGAAAAGAAAGGAGAGGAGGGAAAAGTGGAGGAGAGGAAGAGAAAAGGAGAGAGAGTTATATTAATTTTTTGTTATGAACAGACTTACCGTAAAATTTCTAAAGAATCCTTGACTAGATGTTTATCGACTTGATGAATATTTTTCCTAAGGGCTTTTAGAACCGTAATAGTTTGAGTAAGTTGTTCCATAAGCACATCGTGAGATGTCATTGCATGAAAAAAGGCTTGAGATTTGGACGCAACTTGTTCTGCAATACGAACTTCCACAATGTCCAGATAATGACTAAGCTGTAACAATGCATTTTGCATAATTTTATAACAAATATTAAAATTGTTGAAATCAATTTTTATGTGTATATATTTATGCATATATTATATAAGCATCCTTAAATAATATTACAAATTTTTAGATCGAGATATTTAATGTCAATGGTGAGGTCTGTAGGTCCCACGTACATTTATTCTTTATTTAGAATAGAATAAGAATAGTTTTGCTAAAATATCTAAAAATTTAATCAAATGTAGATCCGAGAAATAATAGAATAATTTTGTTGAGTCAGCAAAAATAAATTATGTAAAATAGTTAAAATCATGACAATAATACTGCAAAAATTTCTTATATTTTAGCAATCTACATACATCCTATTTTGATATCCAACAATGATTTTCAAGCCTGTATATGGTCAAATCGTTAAATACTTTAGCAAAACTGTTTTTTCCATATATATTTATGATCATACCTTTTCTTGCATTTGTTTTACATGCATAACAATATTGCAGTCTTCAATTAAGAGACCGTTTTTTGCAAACGGAAACACAGCATCAAAGTTATCTTTTTCTGAAAGATCCAAATTTGGAACTAAGAAGATCTTTGGGATATTAGCTAAATCAAACTGCAACCGATCTGAAGCAAAAAAAATCATGTTGTAAATTTTTTAAAAGCAGAAAAATTATGTTATATTTTCTAATTAAAAACAGATTGAAAAAAAATTAGTTATAAATTTACACATGTATCTAATTATCATATCATTAATCTAAATCTAATATAAAAACTTTTAATACAAAGTTTATAATTATGATTTATAAAGACAAATTACCCTTGTAAGTTAAATGTATAAATATATAACACATTTGATTTTTTAATTGAACAGTTTTTATTAAATAAATTTTAACAAAAACTGTAAATATGATAAAATAAATACAACTTTATAATAAAGACAGATTAAATTTCTAATTACAAAAAATTTATTATCAATTACTAAAATATATATCATAACATAAAATTACATTTTTAAGAAGAAATATTCATAAGAAATTTAATTATATTTTTAAACGAGATACTTAAACCTCTTTGTTATTTAAAATTTTTATATTATGTCCTGTCTATCTCCCTTTCTGGGAGGAAAAAAAATATTTTTTATTAGCTTTTTAAAATAAAAGAATATGTGATTTGACATATTTTTATATTTTTAATTGTATCGAAAATACAGGGAATATAAATAAACTTTACAGACATCCTATATAAGTATATTAGACATTCTTACCTAATGATTTCACCTTAAGGTTAGGAAAATTTTGAAGCAATTCATTTGGAGTAATCGGCCTGTTTACATTTGAATTCATACGTGAATGTTTCCGATATCTCTGAAAGAATAGATAGGTAAGGTATAGACATACATTCTTTAAGACATACCGTAAATTATTAAGAATTATTAATATTTGTTAAGAAAACATATTATATAAATGATTACCCTTGCAATTTTTTTCAAATATATTTCGAAATGTTGCATTGTAATTTCAGGAAGATAAGGACTTTTTGGAATATCCACTTTTTCTACAAATCCATCTCCCCAAGTGCGAGTTAAGAAGTTACTCTGTTTTCCTTTGAATGGATCGTTTAGAACAGCAGGTAGATTTTGTGCAGCCGAATACACAGTCCACGTTGAACCAGCCTCAGATAACTGGCCATTACTTTTTCGTTGCTGTTGCATAACTGCGTGTTTTGTGGCATGCGCTATATAATCCTTGTCAGAAACACCTTCCACAGGAAGACTAGTACATACTCCATTATAGCCATAGAGGCATACGAAAGATCCACCTTCTCTGGAACAATGTTGATCTCTCAAGTGTCTAAAACAAACCATAAAATAATATACCATTTTGCTAATAATTATATTTATATAAGATGATATGTATCATGACATTATCCTCCAAAACATTATTATAATTATTATTAGGAATATATCTATAAACGCTCGTATTATTTTAAAACCTCTAAATTACAGAAGAAATACTATCTTGAGGTGATCAAAATTGAAAAAAAAAAAAAATCATTCAATAAAACTGAACAATTTGACTGATCGACGTCAAACAGATGGACCCACCTAACAAAATCTTGAATTTGCTTGAATGTCTGATTAGTGCAATGTTCGCACGATAAAACCATAGGCACAGAATCGGGACCTCTCGCGACTTTCGCCATTGCCCCAGTGTCACTTCAGCTCACCATTGCGACGTCGGTCAGGTGCCTTTCGGAGCACTATTTCACTCGGGGGTCCTTCGGTTCCTTTGACTTTAAACGCACGACCGCTCAGCGATTACACGTCCCCGCTTACAGATACACACATTTTACAATACACACACATACACACACCGTTGGCCAACTCAGGAACGGAACAACCGGCGTGGCGAGGGTCACCAACACTATTTCACACACGATTCCCATCTCTCGATAAAATTTAATTATTTGTAAACAGAATACGTATATCGATAGGCGTCATGTATTCCAACGTAGTGCGCATATTTGATGACTCAGAATTCACGTTTCGAAGCATAAGTGACTTTTTTAATCACCCCCCCCCCTTCGCTCTGAACACGACAGCAATCGCGCATGGACTGAAATGAACAAAGAGACATCAACAGACTTGAAACAGGTGAATTCTATAGTAGTTAAACCTGTTTCTTCAGAGGGCGCGTTCGTGACGAAAGAAATTTACTGCTGATAGTTTCCATTCTATGTTACTTCATTTTTCTTTGCCTACAGGTTGTTGCAAAAGACATCACAGACTTCTATATAATATTAGACTAGTAACACCTGCACAAAATGGTTCAAAAAATTGATGCGACGTTAAATAGTGATGGGGATAGCAGCCATATTTTGTGCATATTTTAAACAGATTAGAATAAGGATAAGGATTTAATAATTGAACGATAAGGATAAGAATAAGGATAAGGATTTAATAATTGAACGATATATATTCATCACGTATTATTGATAGACATATGATAAACAATCAAAATACATCGTGTAAAAAATTATCAATTTATCAAGTTTATATTATGCTTATACATGTTGACAGTATAATCTTTCTATAATCATCATATAACATTTTGAACACCCTATATAAAATGCCCACACGAAATATGGCAGCGCATGCACACCTGTGCATGTCTAGAATTACATAAAAATCTGTGAAAGACACGCAATATTATTTTGGCCTGTATTCATCCTGCTGAAACTGGCCAAAGAAACCATAAGTATAAGTATTATAATTTTATTTTATCGTTTATAAGATTTGCAGCAAAAATTAACTTGTCCATTGTCTAAATATTTAAATATTTTAAAATCACTTAAAAATATATGTTTGTCAAATTATTATGATTTTCTAGAAAATTATATTTTATCGATAATATTCACCTTACTTGATTTTTATACAAATATATTTTATATCATACAATGTTTTGTGTTATATGTATCATTTTTTGTTTTATTTTGTAATTTTTTGTGTCTTTTTTCTACTCAGCAAATTTGAAAAAAAAAAGAGAAAAAACATATAATAATAATGTACTTACAATTTTATA